TCAATAATTTCAATTAATGCCAACGTTGTTGAATGATTTTTCCGAAATCCAAATTGGTATTTGTATAAAATGTCCTTTTTATTCAAATATGATAATAGGCGTTTGTACATTAATTTTTCTAATATTTTTGAGAAAGGTGAGAGTAAAGAAATAGGTCTGTAATTTGATAACAAGTGAATCGATTCATTTTTATAAAGAGGGATTACTCGCGAGAGCTTCAGTTCTTCAGGAAATATACCAGAAGTAAATGAAAAATTATATATTTCACTTAGTTCTGATGCAAATATATGCAAAATTTGCGAACTTCACAGAGCTATATTTATGTATTGAGGGGACACTCAAAGTGGGTATCTACACCCATTTTGTGACAGCTATCTGACCCTATTTTGCTAAGCCCCGACAAATATAACTCGCCCAACCAAAATCATATTCATTTTCGTGAACAGTATAAAATGTGATATATGATGTTATTCATACCAAAATATCGAAAAAATTAAAAGTGTAGGTCATCTAAACCCTATGAAAGAGCAACACCATTGTTAAAGAGATTAATTTATGATCTTGCATTTTTGGAAATAACCAATATAACGAAAAACTACTTAGCTACCTATCTACCCACCTACTCCATATACTCTCCCTCCCCCACCTCCCTCTATACCCTTCCTCGTGGAAGAAGAAAATCTGAGAGGATTCATTATATATGTGCTTACATGAACATTTTAACATTTAATAATACATCATCTTTTAATACTTCTAGTGAAAGAACTAGTACGATTAGAAATATAATATTCTCGTAGTCTGTTGTTTTTATATTCATAGATCTATAAATTAAATTAGTGACTGCCAAATCCGTAATGAATGAATTTTTTCTCCTTTATTGATGACAAACCCTTCACCAATACCCTTCCCACCTATATGCAATCAACTGTCATCCAATCGACGATGACGTAATTGTTTATGGCCCCATAATAACGCTTTAAAATTTCCACCAGTTTCTGATATGATTGTGTTTGGTTACTGTTTTAGATACGGGGATATTGATGACGTTTGGGAATGGTGCAAATGGCTGTCTTGGTCATGGGAATTTATTGGATGTTAAAGAGGTACTCTGAAACCATTATAACGTCTTATTTTTGTGTGCCGTGAAATAAATTCGTATCCAGTAACATGCGATCGATGCATCTTGTCTACTAATTACACTAGATAATAATATTTAACAATTATTCGCCGACACTGAGGCGAAGGTGAATAATGGTTTTAGCATTATTATGCCATGCCATACCAAAACATGTGTTGTGTTACAGCTCCCGTAATAGTTGTAAACAAAACAGTATGTATACAAGCTAGCTTTTAGTAAATTTATTCACTAGGAATAGTTTTAAGTAAAAGAATACCTCTAAAGACACACTATTAAAAAAACTTTGTGACTTTCTTTATGTTTGCCGGAACCATAGCGTCGCTTAGTCGTTAGTAACGAGATTTGCTCGTTTGGAGCAAAACAGGAAGACATTTTGTTTTGTCCGGAGGTGAATATAGTGAAAGGATATCCGGAGCAACCAATCAAATTGCACGAAAAGTACTATCCACCTCCCGAGTAATCACTGAGCTTTACTATATTATAATAGTAATATGTACAGCTCAGTGATGCTAATAAAGAATATCTTTTTCTCAGCCTAAAATTGTTGAAACGCTTATTGGAAAGCAAGTGATCAAAGTCTCGTGTGGTGCAATGCATGTTATGGCTGTCACAGGTACTTATTTTTCGTTAAATTAATTATATAGTAAGTACCACAGATAATTTGTAGAAATATGGAGCATAGCAATATACTGTAGACGCATAGCTTCAACTTTATTATTTTGAGAACAGACAAAAACTTCAAACATCACGTAAGACTGGATAAAGTGAAAACGAAATCAAAGAATGAAGTCCAGGCATCTAATGTTGCTGTACGCTCCAGGAATTTTGCAAATGGTCCATATTCACGGTACAGCATCCTTGAATTAACTTTTACCTACAATTACTTTCAGCCGATCATTCTGTGTATTCTTGGGGAAAGGGAGATTCAGGTATGATACAGGGTCAGGCAGTTGGATAATTGTTTCGACTGTTAACCCATAACGCCTGTCAATAAGACTAACAGATATTAACACCAACTGATATTTTGCAAACGCATTGGCGTAGGAAGCAATGCAAAATTAGTTTAAGGTAATTCCGCAGTTTTGCATTGCGCACTTTTACTGCGCACATCTTATAACTTATAATTTCATCCATTATACGTATACCGTTTAAAAAAAATCATTTTATGACAATTTTATGTTACTTCAAAACATCTTTGGTTACAATCGCGCAAAGAATTACGTTAAAATCAATGTTTTCAAAAAAGGCATACAAAAGTGTAGCTAGGGTTCCTGTGTCTGTAGTATATTTATTTACTTGTATTTCACGTTTTAATGCCACAATTCCCTGAAAAGATCGGTGACCCCCGTTTTTTAACTGATAATTTATTTCTGGATCTTGAAAAAAAATCCTTTATCAATGCATGTCCTCAAAAAAAGATATGTAAAGAAATGTGGAAAAGACATTTGTGGATCAGAATTGTACACGTTAGTAGTTTCATTTTGCTCAAACACAATATTTTTTCAAAAATAGTTACAAGATAGGTTTCCTAAAGCAAAATCCGCGCTAAAAACGTCAATAAATATCGGGCTGTTGTGATTTTGCTGTTACTCGTAATGAGCGTCAAGATGGCGTCATATTGGGGGTAAAGGTGGTATATTGTGATTGTCATATCTTCTTAACGAGTTCGGTGACACCGACTTTTTTGTGTGATTTTACTTTAAGTATATCATAAACTCCATGCCTGGGAAGTTTCAGCACATTCTCATTTCGGGAACAATTACTGCGGAATTACCTTAAGGGGCATTAAAGGAGAGCACTTGTTCATTTGTTTATCTGGAGAAAAGGACACATAGAAAAAAACTTGGGCAGGTGGCATGTCTCTTGCTTATGAATTTAGCCGTTAAACCTGAACGCTAAGTCGTCCGTTAAAACACGACTTATTTAACGACTTAACTACGAATAACTACATGGCTGACCCTGATGTACGATAGATATATATTTATAGGTTTTTCATCATTGTGAAATAAGCCTCATTTCATATTATTTTTAAAGTTTGGAAAAAGTTTGAAAGATCAAAAATGGCGATTTTACCCAATATACGTTTGGTTTACTTCTGTATTTAATGGTTTATTTACTGTTATTTTATTTATTCAATGGTTTACTTATTTTAATGGTTTATTTATTCATGGTTTACTTCTGTATTTACTATTTAATACCTGTGAATAAAAAGTTGCGTTCTTATTGCATAATGGATCGAGTGTTTACCAATGTGTTAATTGATTTAGGTCGTCTTGGTCATAGTAATAATGAAATGTGCAACAAACCAGAAGCAGTGACCTTGCCAGATGATACAGAAGCACTGTCGTGTTTCTGTGGTACGGATTGCTCTGTTGTTCTAACTCATCAAAATAAAGTCTTAGCTTGTGGAGGGAATAGGTAAGTGATTAAACCTGCAGGTTCTTTCTTGATTACGATTTTTACTTAATAAAAAAATCCTAATTCTCATTGGTTAAAGGAACGAATTTAAACAAATATATTCAAAATGGCGGTCAACTTCATACCCAGAGCTGCTTTTGCTGTACATTACTTTGCAATATAAACTTTTTAGCTTTGTTTTCATGACACAAGATATCATGGCAGACACAAGATATAATATCATTCAACTTGGGACTTGCATGGTTGTTCAGCGTTTGTTGTTCATCTAAGTTTTTTAGTGGGTGGAAATGAGCTTTACTTCACATCGAATTTTCTACTGCTATATATTGATTTTTCATTAGTAGTGATGTTTTGTCAGGACTTTCCTTCTACGTTGTGTTTTGTAGATTTAATAAACTTGCTTTAAATGGTGATGATGGTACGGTGATGGATGAAGTGGATCATTTAGTTTCTGTACAAGTAAAGCCTCTCGTCGATCTCTGTATAAAAGCAGTTGCCTTTGGAGTATCACATTCTGCATTTTTATCAGGTATGACATGCCCCAGTGAAATGTCGTGAGGGAAAATGCGTTATACATGTATCTTAATTGAAGCTGTTTTACAGCAACAACTCTCTCTTAAGCGAAGGGAGTATCAGGTTAATGCTATTATTATACATTGTAGTCATTACGTAGCAAGCGGCAGTTATAAATACATGAATAAAAAAGAACGAACGTGAATGTTTTATGTGCAAAAAAACTGAGACGTTTTTGACATTTTTATTGGAACTTTTGTAGGTAAATGAGATTTCTAACATTTTATACTATGTAATATTTTAAATCTTTCACTGCATTTTTGGAGAACCAAACGTTGTTTTGCGCATGCATTGCTGCAAATCATTGTTTGTCCATCCATTTCATTTGCTTTTTAGACCAACTCGCATTGATAATCCCTTGTACGAAACCCTGATGAAATGTAAACTTACCGTATTTATTCTAATAAACGCCCAGGGCGTTTATTTAAAAACGAGTTTGGAAAGGGGCGTTTATAAAAGAGAGGCGTGTATTAGAGAGAGGCTCTTATTTCAAACAATTCATATTATAACCTCAAAAATACAAAATATGGACACAATTCACACAAATTCAGCAAGTGCAGCAAAATGTATTGAGTTATTAAATATTAAATATAAAAATAGCTAATATAAAATTTATTATTAGAGAGAGGCGTTAATTAGAGAGAGGCGTTTATTACAAACGTCTGTAAGTTGTGGGGGCGTTTATTGGAGTGGGGCGTTTATAAGATAGTGGACGTTTATTAGAATAAATACGGTAAACGCCAAACAAGCACTGGAAAAATTATTGCGACTTAAATGTAATCTCACGGATAGAAAAAGGTGAAACACGTTACTGAGTCGCATAAGATAACATTTGGGTAGACGGTGCGCAGATATTTCGAACTCGACAGATCAGAATTTGCATAGAACGCGTACACAGACAGTTAATATATAAACTTTAATACAGTACAAATGTTCAAATACGGTTGACAACAACGTTGCGGTAGATAGATTCTAGTATGGCGTTCCGTTCCGGTCAAAACTATTTCAAGTCAACAAGTAATAGTCAAACATTATATCAACATGTTATAACTCTCAATACAATGTTGAAAATATCAAGATGAAGTTCAAACTCAAAAAAATAAAACGAAAGTTTAAAGCATATACTTCAAAACTGCAAAATACATTTCAAACCTCTAAGGATATACATGAAAATTAAACGCAAGTCGAAACTTTTATTTATAATACGAAACTCCCAAATGACAAGTCAAAGCCGCGGCTCATAAAAATAAATCGAAAAGTCAAAAATATAAATCGAAAGGAAACGGAAGTAAGCAACTTAATACAGAGGAAGTCAGGAAACGGAAGTTAACCAAGAAGCCAGCGAATGGTATTCTTTGTTTTAAAGGGGGGTGAACACGCGCTGAGATATTTACGTATGTCGATATTAAAAAGTTAAAGATTTCGAAACTGACGAATTATTTCTCTCTTTATAAACATTGCTGACCTCGTCTTTTACAGTAACAATTACATTATATTATATTATGATTCAACCGAATATCTTGCTCGCCGTCTGGATGTTTACGAGATAAATATTCTTGTACTAATCTATAGCCTGATGATCCTGGGTGATACTTGTGAGATACCACGAACAAGTAGATCAAGATCATTGTCCCTTATCGTAGAATGTGATTGAGTGATTCCCTGTTCGTATATAGCGGAGACAAAGTAAAATTAACGTCGACGTC